GCATTTCCCATCGTGTTTTGGAACTTGTAATGCTGTTTCTGGATTCTAAAAAAATTTGTATTGCATGACCAGCAAGAGGACTCCACTTTGTGCTACGCGGAGAGGGCATTTCTCATGCGGTAGAGGCATCACAAATTCCTCTAAAAATCTGTGATGCTAGGGCATGCATCACAGACATCCTGGGTCATTCAACATACGCATGACAAACCTGGCAATCTTCCAGACCCAGACATTTTTGCAGTTGATACCCCTTGATGAAAGGCAATGACACGGAAAACAGCGAGAGCAAAAACGCCGGTGGGTAGTAGGCCGGTCCCTGCTGCCACAAAAATTTCACCAACTCCACCGTGGACCGTGTCATCTCGGTTTCCGTGGAAAACAACCCGGTGTGCACGTGGCAGGTCGGCCAGAAGAGCCCCGGGTAGATAAAACAATACGCGGCGGCGAGAATGGAGAACCCGATGTAATTCTGCCGCCGTCGGGCGCGCGGAGACAGGGGTGAGTTGTACCGCGAGGCCGGGGGCCCGGCTGCGCGAGAAGTTGTACCTGTGCGACCGACATGCTCGTCAAAGGCTTTCTGATCTAGAATCACGTCCGGCTGTCGCCGGGATTGCGCCGCGTTGCTAGTCGCGCCTGCAGTGGTCGCCATGCGGTTGTATTTTACCGTGTATTGGCTCGTGCTGATAGAAGCGCCGGCTGAATTGGGAAGGTACTTTTGATGTCCCTGCGAATGGATTGTATCTTCTTGGATTTCGACCTCTTCCCCCTCGTCCTCTGGAAACTCCTGATAAAAGTCGTCGTCGTCTTGCGGGCTCGTGCGCAACAGCTGCCGACCACCAACTACGAGGCGGCTGGAAGGGTCCCTACTTGAGTGGTGAGCTGGTGGTGGTGGGTTCAGACCCTGGTTTTGTATTTGTTCCCGGCTTCCAGCACTAGTATGCGCCAGCTCCTGCTGGCCAATGTGTTCTACCAAGGGTATGCGCTGCGCGTCTTGCCCACGCCCCAAAACCGTGTCCCACCACGAAATCTTGAAGGCCGCAAGGGAGCGTGCTGATGAAAGAGGAGCAACGACACGACTTACTAAGGCAATTATTGTACTTCGACGGGGCGGTAAGTAGTTGTGCGGCTGCACGCACCGCCGCACGCTACACACACACAGACAAGGAGAAGATTGCATTCAAAGAGCGAACAAAAATTTTGCAACGATCGTATTTATAAAACGAAGCTGCCACCACGAATGTAACAAGGCCTAAAACGACAAAATCTCTCAGCACTGGCAAATTTTGATCACCATTTTTTCATCCCCAAAGCCAAAACCGAACGCAGAGAGCGGGGACATCCAAGTAGATCAGGGCTGCGTTGTAACGCTGGAATGATTTTTCCGGTGCGCGGTATGGTAAAATTGGTTTACTTGTCGCATGTTTCTCTTCTTTGTGTTTTGTCGCTTTTTTTCGTTGATTTTTTGTCGTTGTGTCGAAGATTCGTACGTTTATTTTCCGTCAGAGATGGGGGGACATTGAAGTATTGCCTGTGCTGCCAGCTGCTGATTAGTCAACTAGTACACAAGAGCGGGTCGAAATGTTGTAGCGAAGTACTCATTTTGGGGTTCTTGTCGGGTAGGCAGGCAATCTTGATAGGATGATCTGATTGGTCGCTGTTGATACGAGTAGAAGAGCGACCCCTCGTGACCACAGAAAAAAAAGTTCGCTTTGTTCGCATGATACATGTCGACGCCCTCCTGTGGTAATGTACTATAACGACGTCATGCATTTCTGAACAAGAAGTTCTTCCATTTCATTAGCACCAGACGATTTCTCAATCTATCCTCCATGATCGCGGATCGTCTTCACATCAGGCTGCATCCCTGTTCGGGGTTTTCCATCAGCACCGGAATACTCATCAACAGTTGCTGCTGCTGCATGGTGCTCTGCATGAAGCGCTCACTCTGCCCGAGCTGCGCCGCGTGGATGAAACCCGCCAGTGCCATTTCGTCCGCCGACACCTGGAACTTCTTGTCCACGGAAGTGGACGCCATTCCCTGCATATCAAATGCAAAAGTGTCTGGGTCTGGAAGAATACAAACTTGTGATGCGCATTTCAGAACACAGAAAAGTCTCTCATGCATAGGCAGCAAAAGTTGCCCACTTTCTGTCACCAAAATCAGGGATTTGTCATGCGGCTTCGGCATTGCGAACGCTTCTCGAAACCTGTGATGCTAGAGCTTCCATGCCAGACCTTCTGTGTCATGCAGAAACAGCATGACTGTTCCAGACCCAGACATTTTTGCATTTGATAATGCGTCAACCGACGCGGCCGCCGAAGTCATTGGCGGTTTTAGTTTCCTTCCAGTCGATATCCTATGTAAAAACGTACCCACCCCAGAGTTGTCATTCAGATCTGCAAGCACAAGAGCATTTGTAATGCGCATCCCCATGAGAGGCATTTCCCATCGTGTTTTGGAACTTGTAATGCTGT